GTTGAGGCTGGAGAATCGCTTGAACTTGAGAGGCAGAGGTTACAGTGAGCCGAGATCACACCACTGCACTCCAGCCTGGGGAGCAGATCCAGACTCTGTCTCGCAAAAAAAAAAAAAAAAAAGAAGAAGAAGATTCAAAAGAAGGCCATTGTGGCTGGAACATACTGAGGGAGGAGGAGGGTAGCCTAAAATGAGATTGTTGAGTTGAGCAGAGACCCCCCCCTTATGAATCATGTTAAAAAGTTTAATTTTATTCTAAGTATTTTGGGAAATAATTGAAAGATTTTAAACTGGGAATAACATGTCTGTCTTATTTGTTTGTCTGTTTGTTTTTTTAGACGGAGTCTCGCTCTATTGCCCAGGCTGGAGTACAGTGGCACAATTTCAGCTCACTGCAACATCCGCTTCCTGGGTTCAAATGATTTTCCTGCCTCAGTCTCCTGAGTAGCTGGGAGCACAGGCACGCGCCACCATGCCCAGCTAATTTTTGTACTTTTAGTAGAGATGGGGTTTCACCATGTTAGCCAGGATGGTCTCTGTCTCTTGACCTCGTGATCTGCCCACCTTAGCCTCCCAAAGTGCTGGGATTACAGGTGGTGTGAGCCATCACTCCTGGCCAGATGTCTGTTTTATTCTTTTAAAAAGATGGTTCTTTCTTCAGTGTGCAGAGCAGATTGGAAAGTACTAAAAGGGAAACAGGACACGACTTAAGAGCGAAGATACTCAGGCTGGGCACGGTGGCTCAGGCCTGTAATTCCAGTACTTTGGGAGGCTGAGGCAGGCAGGTCACTTGAGGTCAGGAGTTCAAGACTAGCCTGGTCAACATGGCGAAACCATGTCTGTACTAAAAATACAAAAGTTAACTGGGTGTGGTGACGGGCACCTGTAATCCCAGCCACTCTGGAGGCTGAAGTGGGAGAATCACTTGAACCCAGGAGGCAGAGGTTGCAGTGAGCCAAGATTGCGCCACACTCCAGTCTGGGTGACAGAGTGAGACTTTGTCTCCAAAAAAAAAAAAAAGAGGGAAGATATTCATTGCTCAGAGCCAGTGCTGGCTTGGGTTAAGGTAGCAACAGCGGCACAAGGAGTATGTAGATTTGGGAAATGTGTGTGTGTTTGGAGTACCAGGATTTGATGGTGGGAGGTGAAAGAGAAGTGTTCGGAATGACCCCTGGGTGTCTAGTATAAGCAACTGGTATGCCACCTCTCGAGGATGTGTGTGTGTGTCTGTATAAGTGAGAGAAAAAGCAAGTGAGAGACCATACATATGAGAATAAGTGAGTCTGGAATTCAGAAGACTGGCCTTGGATAGGGATATATATACATTTGGGGGGAGTTGGCATATAGGGATATTTAAAGCAATAGGAATGAGTAAGAGAAGGAGAGAGAAGAAAGAAGAAGGCCTAGCACTGTGATTTCATTTTGCTATTGACTCTTTTTTTGAATTTAATTTTAGATATTAGAATAGATTTAAGATTAGTTTTCCAAAATCAATCTCATTTGCATTCAGCATTCAGATAAACTTATTTTTTTTTGATACAGGGTCTTATTGTGTCACCCACACTGTAGTGCAGCAGCACAGTCATAGCTCACCACAACCTCTACCTCCCAGGTTCAAGCGATCCCTTCTCAGCCTCCCAAGAAGCTGGGACTACCGGTGTGCACCACTATGCCTGGCTAATTTATACATTTTTGTAGAGACAAGGTCTCACTATGTCGCCCAAGCTGGTCTCAAACTCCTGAGCTCAAGCAGTCCTCCCGCCTCAGCCTTCCAAAGTGTTAGGATTATAGGTGTGAGCCGCTGTACCTGACCAGATAAATTTTCTTGATGGGAGAGAAAGGGATGGAGTTGCAGCTTTCTTGGAGGTAGGGGATGAAGGAGTAGAGGGGGACTCAGGGATTTATGTGGTCTCCAGTTTACTTCATTTCTGGAGTAGTTTACGGTGTGCCCGTTATGAATGTGTCTCATTCTTCATGTGTGTAGTGGAGAAAAAAGGTTGAGTTTCTGATCCTCAAGGTAAAGTTGATATTAATAGTTATCTAAAGTTTTCCACATTCTGGCCCCGTCTGCCTGTTTACATATCCACATTCATACCACTCCCCTCTAACCTCCATGCATGCTGTTTTCTATCATCATGGTCCTAAACCTAGAATTTCCTTTTTCATTTAACACATATTTTAGGTCTCTGTTTTAGTCAGAGCTTTCCCTAGTTCCCCAAGAAAACTCTGTGTTGTTCCTGTTTCCAGTGTTCATTGCTTATAGCATTATTTTATTAAATTTGCTGTTTCTTGGTTTGACTGTCTCCTCAATCTTTTTGACATGAGGGACTTTTTAAATCTTTTTTTTTTTAAGAAAGCACTTGAGGGCCAGGCATGGTGGCTTATGCCTGTAATCCCAGCACTTTGGGGGATCACTTGAGGACAGGAGTTTGAGGCTGCCGTGAGCCATGATTGTGTCACTGCACTCCAGTCTAGGTGACAGAATGAGACCCCATCTCGTTAGGGGGAAAAAAAGCATTTGAGTGTTTGAATTCCCATCCTATCTTTGTTTGAAGAGCCAAATAGAGCTAACATCATCTTCAGATAGAACAAAATGTAGGGTTCAGAGAGTATAAGGGATAAGAAAATAGTTGAACTGGGCACAGTGTCTCATGCCTATAATTCCAGCACTTTGGGAGGCCAAGGCGGGCAGATTGTGTGAGCTCAGTTCTTCAAGACCAGCCTGGGCAATGTGGTGAGATCCCGTCTCTACTACAAATACAGATAACTGGGCACGGTGTGTGCCTGTGGTCCCAGCTGAGGCCGGGAGGATTGCCTGAGCTCCGGAGGTCAAGGCTGCAGTGAGCCAAAATTTTGCAACTGCATTCCAGCCTGGGTGACAGAGTGAGACCCTGTCTCAAAAAAAAAAAAAAAAAAAGAAAAAGAAAAAATGGTTGAAAATGTCTTTCCCATGCCTTTGGAGTCCAGGATGAGGTTAAAAAGAAATAGAAAATGTGTTTCCCATATCTATTTTAATAGCTAGTTAAAATATACTTTAAAAAATTACTATAAGGCAGTCTTTAAAGTATATTCTTATCCTCAAAGCTTGATATTACTTAAAAGAAAGATTTATTACTGAAGGAAATAGAAATTGACTTACTGGAATTGTTTTGGTTATTTGAATTGTTATTTGTGTAGGGCATTTGAGAATGTTAGGTTTTATTTGGAACCATTGATAAACAGAAGATAGATTAGAAATATCGTACTGCCTCATTGTGATTTTCTAGTCTACAGATTTATTTATGCTGTTATTTAGTTTGTGTCTCTTGTATGCACATAGTAAAAAGCAGCAGTTTCTTTTTTTTTAACTTTTAAAAAATTTTTATTTTATTTATTTATTTATTTTTTCCATTTTTCTTCTAATATCCTTGAATTAAACTTTTTTTTGAGACAGAGTCTCGGTCTGTTGCCCAGTCTGGAGGGCAGCGGCACTGTCTGGTCTCACTGCAACCTCTCCCTCCCAGGTTCAAGGGATTCTCTTGCCACAGCCTCCGGAATAGCTGGGACTACAGGTGTACACCACCATACCCCAGTTAATTTTACATTTTTAGTAGAGATGGAGTTTCACCATGTGGCCAGGCTGGTCTTGAACTCCTGACCTCAAATGATCTGCTTACCTTAGCCTCCCAAAGTGTTGGGATTACAGGCATGAGCCACTGTGCCCAGCCTAAAAGTAGCAGTTTCTATACCCGTCAGTATTATATATTTTACTGCTTTGATATGTCTATAGTGGAGCTTTTTAAAATTAGATTTGAAGAAAAAAATTCGATGATAGATTCATTCTAGTTAAAAAATAACCTAAATTTTAGGCCGAGTTCAGTGGCTCATGCCTGTAATCCCAGCACTTTAGGAGGCTGAGGCAGATGGATCACCTGAGGTCAGGAGTTCAAGACCAGCCTGGCCAATATGGTAAGACCCTGTCTCTATTAAAAATACAAAATTAATTGGGCATGGTGGCAGGCACCTGTAATCCCAGCTACTTGGGAGGCTGAGGCAGGAGAATTGCTTGAACCCAGGAGGCAGAAGTTGCATTGAGCCAATGAAATTCTGTCTCAAAAAAAAAAATAATAATAATAATAAGTAACCTAAATTTTAAAGAAAAACATCTGACACTCCCCCTTTCAGCTCTCAGTGGGAACCGCTTAGGTAAATATGAAGCAATTCTGCAAATATCTTATGGAATTCTATATTTACCAGAGTATAATAGAAAAAACTAGGCTGGGACCAGGAGTCGTGGCTCATGCTTGTAATCCCAGCACTTTGGGAGGCCGAGGCGGGTGGATCACCTGAGGTCAGGAGTTTGAGACACGCTTGACCAACATGGTGAAACCCCGTCTCTGCTAAAAATACAAAACTTAGCCGGGCGTGGTGGCGGATGCTTGTAATCCCAGCTACTCGGGAGGCTGCGGCAGGAGTGAACTCAGGAGGCAGAGTTTGCAGTGAGCTGAGATCACACCATTGTGCTCCAGCCTAGGCAAGAAGAGCTAAACTCTGTCTCAAAAGAAAAAGAAAAAACTAAGCTGGGCTCAGTGGCTCATGCCTGTAATTCCAGCACTTTGGGAGACTGAGGCAGGAAGATTGCTTCAGTTCAGGAGTTTGAGATCAGCTTGGGCAACATAGCAAGACCTCATCTCTACTAAAAATAGAAAGAATTAGCCAGGTTTGTTGGCATGTGCCTGTGGTTCTAGCCACTCAGAAGCCTGAGGCGGGAGGATCACTTGAGCCTGGGAGATTGAGGCTGTAGTGAGCTATGATCACACCACTGCAGTCCAGCCTGAGTGACAGAGTGAGACCCTGTATCACAAAAAACAAGCAAAAGAAACTACTTAGGAGTCATCTAGAGTCAGCAACTACATACAGCATTTCAGAGCCTCAGTGTATACTGCATGTTACTCTGAAACAACACATGTCACTTAACTTTCTAATGAAAAACTTTTATTTCTTTTCTCCTTTTTTTATAGGAATACATTTGTCCCAGATGTGAATCAGGCTTTATTGAAGAAGTGACAGATGATTCCAGGTATTGTATAAGTTCATGAATAACTCAGACATTCTATTATCAAAACTATTTTCTCTCAGCATTGAATGAGTACATTGAATTTGTTTTTTAACTTATACTCTCTACAGAGAGAGAAAGAGAGTCAGTGAATGCATGAGCTTGCACAAGAGAGGGCAGAAAAATGGGAGAGGAAAAAGAAAAACGGGAAAATTTGGAAAGTGATGTGATAGTGGATGTGATGATGTACCCTGCTCCTGATTGTGTGTGGCATTCCTTGGAAACATCTGTGTGCATGTCAGAGTAAATGCGGTTAGTTGTCATTTATTATCTGAGACCGGGGGCTTCTCTTAGATTATTATTTGGTTTTTAGTGACCACTCTGCTGCCTGAAGGTAAACTGCTGTTACACCTCTTTGTTGAATTAGGGAGTGACTTCTGACAAAGATATCTAATCAGGTAAACAGGCTGTTGTAGCCAGGGAAACCGATTGTTACTCTGCTTTGAGGAAGCCTTGGGTCTCTTGTTCTTACTAAGATTATTCGGTAGATGCAGTGAGTCACACCTGTAATCCCAGCACTTCGGGAGGCTGAGATGGGTGGATAACCTGAGGTCAGGACTTTGAAACCAGCCTGATCAACATGGTGAAACCTTGTCTCCACTAAAAATACAAAAATTAGCTGGGCATGTTGGTGGGTCCCTATAATCCCAGCTACTTGGGAGACTGAGGCAGGAGAATCACTTGAAACAGGGAGGCGGAGGTTGCAGTGAGCTGAGACTGTGCCGTTGCACTCCAGCCAGGGTGTTGAGAGCGAAACTGACTCAAAAAAAAAAAAAAAAGAAAAGATTATTGCTGTCAAACTTAGGCCATCTTTCCAGTGTAATATTAACATACAGGTTTGTAGTGCTTGGAATTTGTTCTTATTGGCCTCAGTAGAGGTATATTAGCTGATAGAAAGGGAAAATATTTCTGAAAGTGACTATTATATATTCCTCTTTATGTGAAAAAAACTATAAAATCTTTTTTCTTTTCTTTTCATTCATTCCTTTTTTTTTTTTGAGACAGTCTTGCTCTGTTACCCAGGCTGGAGTGCAGTGGTACAATCTTGGCTCACTGCAACCTCTGCCTCCCAGGCCTCAGCCTCCTGAGTAGCTGGAACTACAGACATGCGCCACCATCTCCTGCTAATTTTTGGTATTTTCAGTAGAGACGGGGTTTTGCCATGTTAGCCAGGCTGGTCTTGAACTCCTGGCCTCAAGTGACCCACCTGCCTTGGCCTCCCAAAATGCTGGGATTACAGGCGTGAGCCACTGCGCCCAATCTAAAACGTTAACACATTTTAGAATAGTGTTGATAGGATGGCCTCTTGGCTAAACACAATGACACATTTGTTCTTTTGGGGCTGTTTGGAAATGTTAATACATTTTAGAATAGCATTGATAGGATGGCCTCTTGGCTAATCACAGTGGCACATTTGTTCTTTTGGGACTGTTTGGTTAAGCATTGGTATGAAAATTCAAGAAGTACTGACTGGTCAAAAAGAATTTGCAATCTGAAGCATCTTAATCTTGGAGTGACTTTGGGGATTTTAATAGCAGTAGGTAATTCCTTTACTGTTGCTATTGGCAGAATCTAAAGTTGAAGGTTCCTTCCACAACCAGGAAAAACTACACATTTTACAGTATGTACTATTAGTTTTACTTTACTAATGATTGATGATTATATGTGTAAATAAGCTGGAGCTTCTGGGGCAGTATGTGACATGGGATCTATTTTGATACAAACACTTAACTGTTAGTGTAATCATTTTGGTTTTAAATAGCACAATACCGGCACTAACCCTGTAAGATTAGCATGACTGCAAAATTAGCGGTTTTGTGTGGATGGCATGCTGACTTGGGATAGCTTTTTTGTTTGTGCTATGATAATTGCATCAAATACTTATTTCAGGCACTTATGCTCTGCATGTGCTAAATAAAGGATATATTGGTTGTGGGAGAACAATTAATGGGGCTTAGTTTTCAAGTAGTAACTGGTTTCTTTAGGCGGATAGTACTTTTATGCAAATAAGTTATAAATGAGAATGATTAACTGCAGGATGAATCTTTGTCTAGCAGGGAACTATGGATTCTGTTCTTAATTCTTTTATTTGTCTTTGTAGATCAAAGGTTGTCTTATTTAGGTGCTCTTGGTAGTAATTTACTCAAATACAAAGACTGTTTTGAAAGAGATCCGTGTTTTAAATGAAAGAAGAAATCTTTTTCTTAGAATCCTTGTCTTATAGGCAATATATTTCTTTCTATAAAGTTCATAAACATTTGCTGATTTAAATACTTAGCAGTTGCAGTGGTAAGTAGTGGAAGGGTTAAAGTCAGTAAAAGGAAATTTTTGCATGTAAATATTGGATAATGGGGTCCATCTGCTCTTAAACTTCCAGATAGAGGAGTACCTTAATACTTTTTCTTAAGCTTTGTAGCATTTCTCAGAGCAACATGATGGTTTTTATTGTCCCTTCTCTGTGATAGGCTCTATTACTCTTAAAATGCACAGGAATTTTAAGGAAAGGGAACAGTGAGGTTCTGCTCTCTCTTTCAGGGAGAGCAGAACCCCAAAAGATAAGAGTTGTGGTTTCATTTACCAAGGATATTTGAATCCCTGAAACTGTGTAGCAAAGGCAGGAAGAATCTTGGAAGCCTGTCTGGGCTTGAGCAATTAAGTGGATACATAGCCACTCAACTTTGTTTTTTATGATATATGGTAGTTCAATTGGCTGTTTATTTAGCATAGATGTACAAGTATTTTTGGGCTTGTTACACATTTGGAGTGATTTTTACAAAAGCAGTTTTCTGAAATAAATACAGGTATTAAATGGTTTCTAATCAAGGAATAAGGCTTGAGAATGATTACATAAAGAATATAATTAGCTTTGCTTTTTCACTTTTGGTTTCAGACTGACTAGGGTGTGTTTGTTTCCTTAGTGAGCACAACACAATGCCTGGACTGGTACTGTAATCCTACAAATGAAAACTATTTGTAGTAGTTTGTGAACTTATCATCAGGGTGTTTGTATGTATGTTTGTGTCCTTAAGTGCGTCTCTTGAAGTAAAAGTGATATCCAGCAGTTCCTGTGATTCTTTCCCTCCCTCTTCCCTGATGTGTTAGCTTCTTGTCTTTGTTCTTTACAAATTTCATGGGGACAATGGGATTTAATATTTCTCTCCACTCTTCAAGGTCTTTGGGAAGAGGTAGTTATTTTATCATTTTCACATGTGATACTAATTCAGCAACTTTTGAGTATCAATATAGGATATGACATTGCAGGTTTTTTTAAAGGTGATAGTGCTGTGTAATATCTGACAATTAATAATCACTCTACATGTATTTGAGGCATTAATAAATTGCAGTCTTTGCCTAATGAATTTATATTGATGATAGGAGGGAAATGGGTTGAAATGGATGAGGCAAATCCTAGATACTCATAATACCAGGTAGGTTTTAGAATCAAAGTGAGAGTGCAGAGGGGTTTAGAGGAGTCTTATTTGGTTGGAGAGTTCAGAAAGGCTTAATGAAGGAGGTAGCATTTGAGATGGGTCCTGAAGGGTGGGTGGAGGGAGAAATGTTTTAAATACAGTACCAGGCCTCTTAGGTTACTACATTTGATCATTCTTAAGAAATATTGACTATTGTAGCCTCAGATGTTGTGTTCATCTGGTGGTTGAACGGTTTTTTAGTGAAACCTTTGGTTTTGTTAGTGACTTTGAGGATAAATGTTTTCCTTTTGATAGGTCAAATTTGAATTGCATTGCCGGCTGTGGCAATTGCATTGCCTTCTTCCTTCTCAATGGTGGCTTCTCTCTCCAATTTTTCACTGGATTTAGCTTTGATTCCCTTGGAAACCACTTGATTTTGTGGTTTATGTTACTTTTCGTAGATTAGTTCACATGCCAGTTCTTCATAATTTTCTTTATAGGTGTTGTGTTGGGATGAGTTATTTTTCCTTATTGGGCTTTGTTCTCATTATGCCATTCTATATTTAGCTTCTGGGATGGAAGCTTGTTGCTGGGGGTAGAATCACCACTCATTCCTCTTCTCTTTAGTTTCTTAGGTGGTGGCAGCAGTCGGATAGACAATAGCACAACAACACATTTTGCAGAGGTAAGTTTTCCTTTAGCTATAGGAATTCTTTAAGAAGTGAGTGGGTGTTAAAATCATGGCAGAACTAACTTTCCAGTGTGGCAAAACCTCAGAGTTTAACTGAATGTATAAGAAAATGTGGGCCAGAGTAACCCTTGTGGAAGATTTGTCTTTTCAGTAGCTGGGGCTTGAGCATGTTACCTTTGATAAACCCTTGATTAGGAGAAAGTAATAGCTTCAAACTGTATTCTCTTAAACTGGTAGTATTTTTTTTTTTTTTTTTTGAGACGGAGTTTCGCTCTTGTTACCCAGGCTGGAGTGCAATGGCACAATCTCGGCTCACTGCAACCTCCGCCTCCTGGGTTCAGGCAATTCTCCTGCCTCAGCCTCCTGAGTAGCTGGGATTACAGGCACGCGCCACCATGCCCAGCTAATTTTTTTGTAGTTTTAGTAGAGACGGGGTTTCACCGTGTTGACCAGGATGGTCTCGATCTCTTGACCTCGTGATCCACCCGCCTCAGCCTCCCAAAGTGCTGGGATTACAGGTGTGAGCCACCGCGCCCGGCCCACTGGTAGTATTTTTAATTCTTGTCTTCTGCTGTGTTACTGTGTATATAGTATGAGAATTAAAAGCTTGTGCTGTTTTGAAATAACAGTGTTGCAGACTCTGCTGTAGTGGTATGACAACAGGTGTAAAGTGCAGGCCAGGATTAGTTGTCGAAGTCACAATGGAATAGTCTTCAACCTGGTACAGAGGTACTGGTTTCTAGGGCTTACCTCTAATCAACACAGTAGTTTGGTGTAGATTAAGGATATTTACTTGCCTTTCAGATCCCAAGATGGAATCTGTAAATAATTTCTATGTCTTCTTATAATGTGGCATCCATATTTTTTGGAAAAAAACAAAAAACTGTGATTTGCCAATAGGGTATTAGTCTTCATTCTTGAATGCCATTTTATATTAAATACAGAGTAATTTTCTTTTTTTTGCTTTATTCATTGACTCAAAGTCACTTTAGTTGTCTTTTTTTTTTAAGAAAAGAAACCATTGTAACCATTTTTAAGTGTATAATTCAGTGGCATTAATACTCTTTGTTTTTAAACATTTAGAGACTACAGCCCAGAAGGTACAAACCAGCCAGCTTGCAAAAAACACTGATGTTTTCCTTTTGCTTGTTTGTATGTGACCCTCTGTTGCCATACAACTTGTTCAGCTCTAGAAAGCTGACAGATGCTAAAAGGGAAAAGTAAGTTAAATCCCATAATCAGGATTTATTTGTTTTAGGATCACATTAGCCTTTTCCAGAGATAGCTGAAGTACCTAGATAGCTAGCATAATATTTCACTGTTTTGTATGCAAATTGAAATTGTACTAGTAGTATATTTGAAAAGTGCTATTTCATAAGAAGCCTGTAAAACCCTAAGCTTCTCTCCCTTATTATTTGAGAAATTATTTTAAGACCTATAGCCCCCACATTTTGATGTGATTAGATTTATCAACATTGTCTGGGTAATGGTCCTGTTCTACTTAGGGTGGTTTTTCTGCTTATGGTCTGTGCTACTTCTTAATATCCAGTATTAAGAATTTTGGTTAACTCTGAACTGCCTTGGTAGATGGGTTGATTAGAGTGATTCCGGACAGATCATGCTTTGAACTTCCATTTTTATTTTCCCATTTTGATGGGTTGAAAAACATTTAAAATGTATCCCGGGCTGGGCGCGGTGACTCATGCCTGTAATCTCAACACTTTGGGAGGCTGAGGTGGGTAGATCACCTAAGGTCGGGAGTTCAAGACCAAGCCGGCCAACATGGTGAAACCCCATCTCTACTAAAAATACAATAAATTAGCTGGACGTAGTGGCATCTGCCTGTAATCCCAGCTACTTGGAAGGCTGAGACATGATAATCGCTTGAACCCAGGAGGTAGAGGTTACAGTGAGTCAAGATCACGCCACTGCACTCCAGCCTGGGTGACAGAGCAAGACTCCATCTCAAAATAATAATAACAATAATAAAATGTACTCTGTTTGCCAGTCCTGGAAGACTTTATGATTTTGGTATCCTTTCCCCTTGTGTGTGCTCTTTGTGATAACACAGATTGTCACTTGCTGATTATGCATATGCAGAGAAAGAAATTTAATTTAGTTTTCCTTTAGTGTTCTCTTTTAGGTAATGGAAATAGATGGGTCTGCCAATTTTGTAGATATGACTCACCAGGAAGAGATGCATTAAGTAAGAAGAAAAATAAATATATGTAGTCAGTTTCCTAACTTTAGTAATGCTAAATGTCACACTGATGGCATGAGTTATCCTTCAGGTGTTAAAGTAATTTTGCTGATTCATAGCCTGTGACTTCACATTCTAGATGTTGCCAGGGATTTTTGAAGAACTAAGAGAGAGAGAGAGAGAGAGAGAGAGAGAGAGAGTGAGTGTGTGTGTGTGTGTGTGTGTGTGTGTGTGTGTGTGTGTGTATGTGTGTATGTATGTGTGTGTGTGTTTTAAGAGGTGGGGTCTTACTGTGTTGCGCAGGCTGGACTTGGACTCCTGAGCTTAAGTGATCCTCCTACCTCAGGCTCCCTGTAGCTGGGATTACGGGCAGGTGCACTGTGCCTGCTAGAAGTATGTATTGAGTGTTTCATACACAGCACTCTGCTAGAAATAGGGGCAGGAAGTAAATGTCATAGTTGCCTTGCCTGAAGGGAACTTAAAATTTAGTTGTGGAGCAAGTGCAAACACATAATAGAACAAATAAGAAAACCAAGAAGACTGGGTGCAGTAGCTCACGCCTGTAATCCCAGCACTTTGGGAGACTGAGGGGGGTGGATCACCTGAAGTCAGGAGTTCCAGGCCAGCCTGGCCAGCATGGTGAAACCCTGTCTCTACTAAAAAATACAAAAAATTAGCTGAGTGTGGTGATGGGCACCTGTAATCCCAGCTATTCAGGAGGCTGAGGCAGGAGGATTGCTTGAACCCAGGAGGCAGAGGTTCCAGTGAGCCAAGATTGCAGCACTGTACGCCAGCCTGGGCAACAAGAGCAAAACTCCATCTCAAAAAAAAAAAAAAAAAAAAGGTAAACAAAAAAGTGTACAGAGCATAATAAATTTATTGTGGGGTATATGTAACAAGTATAGTAGAAGGAAGAGAGAAGGTGGACCACAGTCTTGAGGAGAGGTCATATAACAGTGACTAAGAACAGCCCCTGGACCCAGGTTGCCTGAGCTCAAATTCTGTATCTGCCACTTACTGGCTGTATAACCTGCTCCCAGTGCCTCTCTTGTTTCCTTGTCTGGAAATTGGGGGAAATAATCATACTTTCCTCACAGGAATGTTGTGAGTATTAAGTGAGTTAGTAGATGGTAGGTATGTGAGTGTTTGATACATTATAGCCATTATTAAGACTTCATAGAGAAGGTGAAACTTGCACTAGAGCCTTGAAGAGTAGGTGGAATTTAGATAAGCAAAGATGTGAAAATTATCTCAAAATAATATTCATAAGCTTTAAGGTTTTATGCTCATGTCCCTGAAGAAAAAACTTAGAAATAAAATCATATATAGAAACTAAAGTTATTTTTCTTTTTCCTATTTTAGTTGGTAATTTCAGCAAAGACTTATGCTCAGTTTTGCTTTGTTTTTCTTTAGCCAGAGCTGCTTGTACAGTGAAGTGGTTATATTCTATAAGTAACATTTACTGATAGCTGAATTCTGAAAATACTGGCTTATAGAAGAGGCTTATTTCAAGAAAATTTCTGACAAAATCAGTATTGACTTTAAAAAAAAAATGAGACTGGGGTGAGAGATAAGAGACTAATGGGTTAGAGAGAACTTAGGGGAGGGTTGCCAGTTAAAGGGGAGCAATGTTTGAATAATGCGTGAGGGCCAGTGGAGAGTGAATCTGAAAATGTTGCTAGCAGTTTGTAGAGAAGACCTTGCTATACTAAGCTTCCTGATGATAATCTGGAAAGTGGGCCCCATAGCTACCTGAAGGTTTCATTGATTACTTGCAAACTTCTGACTGACCTGGTGCCAGTGAGTCATCTGATTGTAGAGTCTCAGCTTACCCGAACGGATGACTTCCGTTCGAGAGTGGCTCTGGCTGCTGCCTCAGATTAGGAGACAATAAGATACATGGCTTTCTGGAGAAAAGAGCTCCCAGGTATGCACAGGAGGGCAAGGTGCTCTGAGTTGTCTGATTTATATTTATTTAAATAAAACTTATTTTTGTTATATAAGCAGCATTATAGTGCCAGTAAAAAAAAATTTAAAAATATTTCCTAGACATTAAAAAAAAATTTTAAATATATATCTTGAGTTTCACTATTCTGAGAGCTCCCTTTTTCCATACATATCCTTTCAGATTTTTTCCTAAGGCATAGATTCTGAAAAATAACAAACTTAAGCTTTCTTTCTTTCTGTCTTTCTTGAGATGGAGTCTCACTCTGTTGACCAGGCTGGACTGCAGTCGCGCGATCTCAGCTTACTGCTAACCTCCACCTCCTGGGTTTAAGCAATTCTGTTACCTCAGCCTCCCGAGTAGCTGGGATTACAGGCACCTGCCACCATGCCCAGCTAATTTTTGTATTTTTAGTAGAGATGGGGTTTCACCACATTGACCAGGCTGGTCTGGAACTCCTGACCTTCCACCCCGCTCATCCTCCCAGAGTGCTGGGATTACAGGCGTGAGCCACCTTGTTCGGCCCTAAGCTTTTTTTTTTTTCTTTGAGACGGAGTTTCACTCATGTTACCCATGCTGGAATGCAATGGCGCGATCTCGGCTCACCGCAACCTCCGCCTCCTGGGTTCAGGCAATTCTCCTGCCTCAGCCTCCTGAGTAGCTGGGATTACAGGCACGCACCACCATGCCCAGCTAATTTTTTGTATTTTTAGTAGAGACGGGGTTTCACCATGATGGCCAGGATGGTCTCGATCTCTTGACCTCGTGATCCACCTGCCTCGGCCTCCCAAAGTGCTGGGATTACAGGCTTGAGCCACCGCGCCCGGCCGGCCCTAAGCTTTTTTAAAA